AATACAGTACAGTGGTACCTTGGGTTACGAACACCTCTGCTTACAAACTTTTCGGGTTGCGACCAGAGTCACGGAACGGATTAAATTCGTAACCCGAGGTACCACTGTATAAATACTGTATCTGATCATACATGCAACCGTACAGGAGATCTTCTTTCCTGGAAGAATTTGTGCTATATGTACTGTACAAATATACCAAAGATTTGGGACTCTGGGGTACGTAGTGGGATTATTTAGGCCAGCTTCATCCATCCTTAGGTGTTTATATCAGAAGTCATCTCTTGTCACCAATATCATGTACCGATATAATTCTCATTCTTTTTATTTGCACATGGGAAACTTCATTGGTATTGATTTTCTGGTAGCATATTCCTGCAAAGGTGCGATCTTTGTAATGAATGGTCATGGGGACATTTTTCTGTGTGGGTAATATATGTGTGTAAAAAATTAAAGCATTTTAATGTCAAACAATAGACATTTATAAAAGTTGATAATTTTTAAAAAGGATACAAAATATTTATCCATCCTAAGTGATTGTAAAACTTATGGGACAGCTTTGATGTCTTTGTGTTAAGGCTGGTAGAGCTCTCTAGGTTAGAACTTAAACTGCAAGAAAGCTCTGAGACAATTGCTAAAGGTTGAGATCATAGTAGAAGCCTGGAATGTGCAATGACATTTTAGATTTCCAGTAAAAGTGACCTAGTGTCCCTCTAGGTCACTGCAAAAAGTCATTCAGTGTTATCCTATGTAAGGCCACTTCTTTTTAAGCATCTGTGCTGCTGCATTTCAGATTAGCGTATTTGGCTGTTGCTGTAAATGACTCTGAAATTGGAATGCAGTCAACCTTGCTAAATGTTTTCTCATGGCTCCTCAGCATAGATGTCACTCATCTTCTATTCTCTTACAAAAATATATCTTCCATCTTATCAATTTATTAGAAAATGTTTTCTAGAGGGGTGCAGGGTGGGGAGACAAAGCATGTCTGCTACATAAATTCTATGGGATTGATAAGGGTTAACTAGAGATCTATTCAGTGATAGATACTCAGGGCATCCGTATGGTACCAATATTTAAAATATGAGATGTAGCTGTTATGTTGTATTACAGTGTAATATTAAATAATATTACACAAATGTATCTGATGATGGTTTATTTAGAAAGCTGATAAAAAGAAAATGGTGGAGATAAAGGGAATGTAGTGGAGGGTCTTCTCTCCTATAATTTTGATATTTTGATCTCCATGCTTAATGCATTTTCTAAAATTCCATTTGAAAAAAGGAACCTTGCGGTCCCTTGGCTATAATGCCAGATGTAAGATACCTGCTTGATATTTTTTTTAATGTCAATCAATCAATCAATCAATCAATCACATTTATAAAGCCACCCATCTCACATAAAGCAACTCTGGGCAGGGTACAACAATTATTTTCCATTGCAGTAGATGGTTGAACTGCTTTTACAGATGATCAATCTTCATTCTTTACCACATTGTGAGATCTTGATTTCCTTAGTACACAGAATAAAATGTGTCTCTGAATGGCAGATTTTATTCTGTAGTTGTGGTTTAAATCTTGAGGGAGATCCAAATTTATCCAAAAAAGCTATGAGTCCTCAAATAAGGC